ATTGCGGCTGGCCCGGTGAACCTTTGTGTGCCCATACAATTTTAAGACAATTTAGGGGCGCCGCAATGTGACTTGTCCTGGGAGGTTCGGCCAATCTCCTGGCACTGGGAAACCGCGGGATTTCCCACCTAGGGGCCCTTCGGATGAAAACCCGTTGTGCCATGCAATCCCCCGCTGGGACACTACATGTGTGTGTGCGCTGCGTGTGTGCGTGTGCTCGGGGGGGGGGGGGGCAGGAGGGAATCGTGGCGCTTGTGGAGTTGCTCCGTGGTTGTGGCACCACAGTGGGTGTGCGAGTGGGGTGAGTGAGTGCAAGGCACAATGTCGATCATCTGAAATCCCGAAAAAGTTCAAAAAATTGTCCTTAAAAATATGAAAAATCCAAAATCCAATAAAATTCCAAGCTCACCCTCTGCGTGCGTGCTACTCATGTAACAGATCACTCCCGTTGGGCATGAACCAGGATTGGAGTGGAATGTTGTCTTTTGGCCGCCAATTTACGCTGCCAAGTGATCGCAGTGGCAGGACCGACGATGCCGCTGCTGCTGCTGCTGCGTGATCCCAGCCGAGTGATTGGCAGCCGATGGGACGTTTGGCCAACACCGGCTACATTGCACGGCTTTCTCAGCTATGGGGAAGAAACTGGGCGAAACCCCGAGAAAACCCCAGCGGCGCACGGGGTAGAGAGAACGTGAACTCCACGCAAGAGAGCGGCGCCCCAGTGGGGAGTCGAGCCCGGGGTGCTTATTGCCACGAGGCCCGAGCGTCACTAGCACGCTTACCTGTGCCGCCCGCTCCGGTGTGATCCCCTGGGCGGTCACACTCCCGTGGGTGGGTGGGTGGGTTGAGTGGGTGGGTTGGTGGGTGGAGGAGTGGGTAGAGGTGAGTTAGTGGGTGGGTTGGTGGGTGGAGGAGGGGGTTGGTGGGGGTGTGGGTTGGTGGGTGGAGGAGTGGGCGGGTGGGTTGGTGGGTGTAGGAGGGGGTTGGTGGGTGCGTGGGTGGGTTGAGTGGGTGGGTTGGTGGGTGGAGGAGTGGGTAGAGGTGAGTTAGTGGGTGGGTTGGTGGATGGAGGAGGGGGTTGGTGGGGGTGTGGGTTGGTGGGTGGAGGAGTGGGCGGTTGGGTTGGTGGGTGAAGGAGGGGGTTGGGGGGTGGGTGGGTTGAGGAGTGGGTGGGTTGGTGGGTGGAGGAGTGGGTAGAGGTGGGTTAGCGGGTGGGTTGGTGGATGGAGGAGTGGGGGGCTGCATGGGGGTCGTCACCTCAGCGCAATTTCCACCGTTTGCCCCCCCCCCCCGCGTCTTTCTCCCGCCAGGCTAAGCGCGGCGCTTCTGACTTGGTGGTGGTGGTGGCGGTGGTGGTGGTGACGGTGGTGGTGACGGTGGTGGTGGCGGTGGTGGTGGTGGCGGTGGTGGCAGCTGTGGACGCTGACCTGGGTCCCACGGAAACGTCGGAATTTTTTGAATTCTCAAAACGTTGGAATTCCCTCCCATCGTCTCTTTCCTCTTCACTCACCGATTCTGCCGCCCGTGTTGAGGACTCGGGCTACCAGACGCTCACTGTTTCGTCTCGTCCGTCACACCGAGTTCAACCACCTCCACACTGCGGGTCACAACAACTCACTCACCTACACACCCACCCACCACACTGCAAGTCAGGGCAATAACACACCCACCCACCCACTCACTCACCTACTCAACCAGTCACTCACCGACTCATTCACCTACTCACCCACCCACCTACTCACCCACCCACTCACCACACCGCTGGTCACCTGACATCTCTCTCCCCTTTGGGATTCCCTCCGATCATCGTCTCTTTCCCCAAACGCTTTACAATGATAATGATAAAACCTCGCTCGATCCAATAAACGCGTCACTCTTCTACAACTCGCAAAGTGCTGTTTGCGGCTGGCCGCTTGACGTTCTGGGCCATGACCCAGCAATTGCATGGATACAAAAAAAAGTTAAATCGAGGTTGAAAGTTTCCTCTAGTTTTGTTTAGCACCTCAGAGCCGCTAAAACACAGGCCTGAAACGCCACGCTGCCAGTAGCAATCAGCACCGTGAACATTGTAAGAGTCAAAAAGTCAAAGTGAATTCCTGCTCCAATGACAATTGAGACCTTTGTGCTCCTCTCCTGGTTAAAGCCCTGCACAGCCAGAGGTGGAAATTCCACATTCCTACGAGAGGGAGCGGAGGGGGGGGGGTCTATCCATACAACCACAAATTGGATTTCTCCACAAAGTGGTGCTGCTTTTATCGACCCCAGGAGGGAGGGATGATGATGGACTGAATCAGCCCCCCCCCCCCGCCCGCCCGCGACCAAGCGGGACTTGAACTCGCGACCTTGCGGTTGCGTGCCGCTTGCTCTGGCGTGGCGCACCCGAGCGGCCCGTCGAGATTGCCAGCGTTAGGCGTGCGGGCGAAGCGGGCAAGGCGGGCAGCTCAAAGTGCACAGGTGAGCGAGTGTGTGTCGCTTTGTTTGGTTTTACTCCAAATCGCAACATCGCTCCGAGCGGAGACGCCACGCTCCCCGGGGGCCCCGGCGTGGCACCGTGCCAGCCTGTCGGCCTTGCTGCCGGCGCCGGCGCCCTCCGCGCTTGCGGGCGATCGCGTCACCGGCGCGGCGTGGCACGGGAGCGCGCCGCGACAGCCGTCACACTCCAGCGCCACGGGCCGCGGAGCGACGCGGCCGCTACTGCCGCCCAGGCTGTGGGGCAGAGCGGTGGCAGTCACCTGCACCCTCTCGGGCACGCAGCAGCCAATGGGCTTCCCTTGATCCCGTGGGGCTTTATCGCGGCCATCCGTGCGGAGTATGAGCGCGAGCCGGTGGGGCGAGGGGGAGCCGATTATCTCCTCCTGGTGCTCGGCGATCAACCTCGGAGCTGCGGCTCCTCTGGGCGGCGGGGCCCACCGGGACCCGCCGGAGCCCGCCGGGGCCCGCCGGGGCCCGCCGGGGCCCGCTGGGGCCCGCTGTCGCCGAGTTCGCGTGACACCGGGCACTCCACGTGGCACTGGGAGCTCCGGGTGGCACTCCTAAAGATCGTTCTGTGCCAAAAAACGCCGCGTGGCCTTTAAAGTACAAAAATATATATTTAATAGGCAACGTTTCAGGCAACGGCCCCTCTTCGTAGCACGTGAATAGGAGTGCGGGCAGTGATCGTGGGGGTTGTGTCGTCAGATGTTGAGCTATCGGCGTTGGGCGGGACCCCGGCAGGGCCTTCCCCCCATGGCCACGTCGCTCGATGAACCCAACGAGCGGTCTCGCGTCGCGCGCTCACCCGCTCGCCCATCCGCCCGCTCGCCCATCCGCCTGCTCGCTCGCCGGCCAGGTGCGCGAGAGACCGCCTGGTCGCGTCACCTCAACCTCACCTGCCCCGCCGCTCCGCCAGCAATTTCCAAAACTCAAAACACGCAACAGAAACCAAAAAAAATTACAACGCGCCTACCGGCGCGAACGAAACGCGGAGGCGGCGAGCGGGAGGTGACGGCCCCGGCATCCGCGGTGATCTCACTCCCAGCGGCTTCCAAGCACGCGGAGCGAGCGGCGATAACGATGGCGACAACGAAACCCACGGCGAACGACGAGAAAAGACGGAGAGAGAGGGGAACAAGCGGCCACCCACCCAGCCCATCGTGTGCCTTGCCGGCCTTCATAGGCGCTCGCTGAGAGCGCTTGCCCCGACAGTCTGTTAAGGCTACACGCGGGATCTTTGTCTTTGTTTTGCGTGTGTGTGCTTGCGAACAGCACTTGCCCCGACAGTCTGTTAAGGCTACACGCGGGATCTTTGTCTTTGTTTTGCACGTGTGTGCTTGCGAACAGCACTTGGACCAACAGTCTGTTGGAGGCTATATGGGGGATCTTTGTGTTTGTGTGCGTGCGTGTGTGCGGCTTCCGAAAAAAAAAAAACACGGGCAACACATTTTTTTAAGTGTAAATAAATAAAATATTCGTGCCTTGACGGCGATTGTTTGACGGAGCGTGGAGTGATGTCACCTGTCACGTCCCCCCTCGCCGAACGGTGCGGGGCCGTGCGTGGAGAATGCGGCACAAAGACAAAGATTCCCCGTGTAGCCTTCAATAGACTGTTGGGGGCAAGTGCTGGTAGCGAGCAGCACCTACGAAGGCCGACCTGTTGAACCAGGTGAGAAGTCAAGAGAGCGGAGATGACGACCTGGGTCTCCACGACGATCTGGGTCTCCATGACAACCTGTGTCTCCACGACAACCTGGGTCTCCACAACAACCTGGGTCTCCACGACAACCTGGGTCTCCATGACAACCTGGGTCTCCATGACGACCTGGGTCTCCACCACGACAACCTGGGTCTCCACCACGACCTGGGTCTCCATGACGAGCTGGGTCTCCACCACGACCTGGGTCTCGACGACGATCTGGGTCTCCAACACGACCTGGGTCTCCACGACAACCTGGGTCTCCACAACGACCTGGGTCTCCACCACGACCTGGGTCTCCACGACAAACTGGGTCTCCACGACAAACTGGGTCTCCACGACAACCTGGGTCTCCACGACAACCTGGGTCTCCACGACGACCTGGGTCTCCACCACGATCTGGGTCTCCAACACGACCTGGGTCTCCACCACGACCTGGGTCTCCACGACGATCTGGGTCTCCAACACGACCTGGGTCTCCACGAAAACCTGGGTCTCCACGACAAACTGGGTCTCCATGACGATCTGGGTCTCCACCACGACCTGGGTCTCCATGACAACCTGGGTCTCCACCACAACAACCTGGGTCTCCATGACAACCTGGGTCTCCATGACAACCTGGGTCTCCACGACAACCTGGGTCTCCAACACGACCTGGGTCTCCACAACGACCTGGGTCTCCACAACGACCTGGGTCTCCATGACAACCTGGGTCTCCACCACGACCTGGGTCTCCATGACAACCTGGGTCTCCACCACGACAACCTGGGTCTCCATGAATAAATAAAATATTCGTGCCTTGACGGCGATTGTTTGACGGAGCGTGGAGTGATGTCACCTGTCACGTCCCCCCTCGCCGAACGGTGCGGGGCCGTGCGTGGAGAATGCGGCACAAAGACAAAGATTCCCCGTGTAGCCTTCAATAGACTGTTGGGGGCAAGTGCTGGTAGCGAGCAGCACCTACGAAGGCCGACCTGTTGAACCAGGTGAGAAGTCAAGAGAGCGGAGATGACGACCTGGGTCTCCACGACGATCTGGGTCTCCATGACAACCTGTGTCTCCACGACAACCTGGGTCTCCACAACAACCTGGGTCTCCACGACAACCTGGGTCTCCATGACAACCTGGGTCTCCATGACGACCTGGGTCTCCACAACAACCTGGGTCTCCACGACAACCTGGGTCTCCACAACAACCTGGGTCTCCACGACAACCTGGGTCTGCATGACAACCTGGGTCTCCATGACGACCTGGGTCTCCACCACGACAACCTGGGTCTCCACCACGACCTGGGTCTCCATGACGAGCTGGGTCTCCACCACGACCTGGGTCTCCACGACGATCTGGGTCTCCAACACGACCTGGGTCTCCACGACAACCTGGGTCTCCACAACGACCTGGGTCTCCACCACGACCTGGGTCTCCACGACAAACTGGGTCTCCACGACAACCTGGGTCTCCACGACAACCTGGGTCTCCACGACGATCTGGGTCTCCACGACGACCTGGGTCTGCACCACGATCTGGGTCTCCAACACGACCTGGGTCTCCACCACGACCTGGGTCTCCACGACGATCTGGGTCTCCAACACGACCTGGGTCTCCACGAAAACCTGGGTCTCCACGACAAACTGGGTCTCCATGACGATCTGGGTCTCCACCACGACCTGGGTCTCCATGACAACCTGGGTCTCCACCACGACAACCTGGGTCTCCATGACAACCTGGGTCTCCATGACAACCTGGGTCTCCACGACAACCTGGGTCTCCAACACGACCTGGGTCTCCACAACGACCTGGGTCTCCACAACGACCTGGGTCTCCATGACAACCTGGGTCTCCACCACGACCTGGGTCTCCATGACAACCTGGGTCTCCACCACGACAACCTGGGTCTCCATGAAAACCTGGGTCTCCATGACAACCTGGGTCTCCACGACAACCTGGGTCTCCACGACAACCTGGGTCTCCACCACGACCTGGGTCTCCACCACGACCTGGGTCTCCGTGACAACCTGGGTCTCCACCACAACCTGGGTCTCCACGACAACCTGGGTCTCCACCACGACCTGGGTCTCCACGACAACCTGGGTCTCCACGACAACCTGGGTCTCCATGACAACCTGGGTCTCCATGACGACCTGGGTCTCCACCACGACCTGGGTCTCCACGACAACCTGGGTCTCCATGACAACCTGGGTCTCCATGACAACCTGGGTCTCCACCAGGACCTGGGTCTCCACCACGACCTGGGTCTCCACAACGACCTGGGTCTCCACCACGACCTGGGTCTCCACGACAACCTGGGTCTCCATGACAACCTGGGTCTCCACGACAACCTGGGTCTCCACCACGACCTGGGTCTCCACCACGACCTGGGTCTCCACCACGACAACCTGGGTCTCCACCACGACAACCTGGGTCTCCATGACAACCTGGGTCTCCATGACGACCTGGGTCTCCATGACAACCTGGGTCTCCACCAGGACCTGGGTCTCCACCACGACCTGGGTCTCCACAACGACCTGGGTCTCCACCACGACCTGGGTCTCCACGACAACCTGGGTCTCCATGACAACCTGGGTCTCCACGACAACCTGGGTCTCCACCACGACCTGGGTCTCCACCACGACCTCGGTCTCCACCACGACCTGGGTCTCCACCACGACCTGGGTCTCCACGACAACCTGGGTCTCCACGACAACTTGGGTCTCTACTACGACCTGGGTCTCCACCACGACCTGGGTCTCCACGACAACCTGGGTCTCTACTACGACCTGGGTCTTCACGACAACCTGGGTCTCCACCACGACCTGGGTCTCCACGACAACCTGGGTCTCCACCAGGACCTGGGTCTCCACGACAACCTGGGTCTCCACCAGGACCTGGGTCTCCACGACAACCTGGGTCTCCACGACAACCTGGGTCTCCACCACGACCTGGGTCTCCACGACAACCTGGGTCTCCACCACGACCTGGGTCTCCACGACAACGCGAGTGACAAAGCAGAGCGGAGAGCAAAGAAGCAAACAGACATCCGAGCAGGAGGACGATCGAACACGAGGGGGTGGGTGGCCAGTATCACACCCGGCCCACCTTTGTCCCCCTAATGGCGATGGTCACACACCACGCCGGCCATTCGTTTGAGGCCGAGTCGACCTAAGGGGCAGACCCAGGACCCTTTCGGATAATCGCCATCGGTGGCCGTGAACCCCGAGGTCGCCGGGCTCGTAGCGCGGAGCTCACCACTGCTCCAGGCTCCCCACTCGCACGCACGGGCACCCCGCGGCGCGCCGTGGTGTTTGTGGACAGACATCTCATTGTCCTCATTGTGATCCCGCTCCATGGGCACTGCCCGTGCCGCCCAACGAGTGGCACTGTAAGCGCGGTGTCGCTGGCGCGCTGCAAATGCCACCGCCGTTGCGCGCGCGCTCCGTTTCCACGTCGACTGCCAGCGGCGGCGTCGCCCTCCGTGGCAGAGCGAGGATGGAACGACGGAAAGATGGAAGATGCGGAGCGTGGGGGGGCGTCATTTCCCAAGCGTCGAACGCCGCGGCCTTGCGGGAGAGGATGTGACTCTTAGTCAACAACCGGGGAGAGGGAGAGCGAGGGAGAACGTGTCTACTCTGTTTGGGGAGGTCTAAACAAAAATATTCCCACGATGATAAAAAGTTCCGGTGGCTGAACTCGTCAGCCGTAGAGCCACGCCGGCGATCCGCCACGTCTGGCATGGATGAGAACACCACGTCTATGGGTCTTTGTGTGAGTCTATGAGTCTCTGTGAGAGTCTTTGAGTCTCTGTGTGAGTCTATGGGACTCTGTGTGAGTCTACGGGTCTCTGTGTGAGTCTACGAGTCTCTGTGTGAGTCTATGAGTCTCTGTGTGAGTCTATGAGTCTCTGTGTGAGTCTATGAGTTTCTGTGAGAGTCTATGGGTCTCTGTGTGAGTCTATGAGTGTCTGTGTGAGTCTATGAGTATCTGTGTGAGTCTATGAGTCTCTGTGTGAGTCCATGAGTCTCTGTGTTAGTCTACAGGTCTATGTGAGAGTTTACGGGTCTCTGTGAGAGTCTATCGGTCTCTGTGTGAGTCTATGGGTCTCTGTGTGAGTCTAAGGGTCTCTATGAGAGTCTATTGGTCTCTATGTGAGTCTATGGGTCTCTATGTGAGTCTATGGGTCTCTATGAGAGTCTATGGGTCTGTGTGTGCGTTTAGAGATCTCTATGTGCATCTATGAGTTTCTGTGTGAGTCTACAGGTCTCTGTGTGAGTTTACGGGTATCTGTAAGTGTCTATCGGTCTCTATGTGAGTCTATGGGTCTCTGTGTGAGTCTAAGGGTCTCTATGAGAGTCTATGGGTCTGAGAGTCTACTGGTCTCTATGTGAGTCTATGGGTCTCTGTGGGAATTTAGGGGTCTCTATGTGAATCTATGGGTCTCTGTGAGATTCTACAGGTTTCAGAGTCTACGGGTCTCTATGTGCGCCTATGGGTCTCTGTGTGAGTCTATGGGTCTCTGTGTGAATTTAGGGGTCTCTATTTGAATCTATGAGTCTCTGTGTGAGTCTATAGGTCTCTGTGTGAGTTTACGGGTATCTGTGAGAGTCTATCGGTTTCTATGTGAGTCTAAGGGTCTCTATGTGAGCCTATGGGTCTCTGTGTGAGTCTATGGGTCTCTGTGTGAATTTAGGGGTCTCTATGTGAATCTATGGATTTCTGTGATATTCTACAGGTCTCAGATAGTCTAGGGATATCTATGTGAGTCCGCAGGTCTCTATTTCAGTCTACGGGTATCTATGCGAGTCTGTAAGTCTCTACGTGACAGGTCAGTAAAACCTCAGCGTAGGCCAAGACTCCTTTTTTTTCCAGGAAAGTTCCTGCGACACCGCGGTGTCTGCCCGACACCGCACGAGCCCAGAGGAAACCCCCACAGAGTACACGGTGGGGGGGGGGGGGGGGGGGTGAGAAGCGAGAAAAGGGCCCACTCGGAGCGCCAGGGTGGCCACAGAGGCCCGGCAATAAAACCCGGGAAGATGGCACGGAGCGTCCGGGCCGATGACACCTCGGAAAGGTCGCGCGTGGACTCATAGGTCACTCGCGCATCACTCGACGCTCCGTCATCGGCAATGCGCGCTGGGCACAATCGCCACACAAAGGCCACCGATGTGTTAGACGACGTAAAACAAAAAAACGCGCAGAACTCACTTCCTGCCCAAGTGAGCATCGGAGCGTCGGCGCTGATCTCCCGCTCACGGCTCCCGCAGAGCCGGCAATTCTCCCGTTCCTATGGCGGGGGCAGGTCCCTCCATCGGACAACTGCCGTTGTTGTTGCTGCTGCTGCTGCTGACCGACGTCCACACAAAGTGGGGATTGTTTTCATCGGCACCACAGGGAGGGTTGACGACGACGACGACGACGGCTGAGCCAACCTCTCCAGCCTTCCCGCAAGCAGGAATTGAACTCGTGACCTCCGACCGCGAGCCGCCCGCCCTGCCGCCGAGCCGCCGCCTGGCCGGTCACGCGCGCACAGGTCAAGGGGTCGAGGTCAGCGGCACGGCACGAGCGACGAGTTTGTATCCTCGTCATCGACGGGCGAACTCCGCACGCAGAGAAGGGCGCCACGAGTCAGGACTCGAGCCCAGGCCCCCCCCCCCTCGAGCGTCACCGCTGCCCCCACGCACGCCGACGAAGCCAACGGGGCTCGGTGGGACGCACCGAGCCATGCCGATAACCGGCGGCGTCGCCGACGGTCGCTCCGCGTGTGACGGCCAGACAGACGCACGCACGGTGGGAGAACGCGCAGACAGAGAGATACGCACAACGATAGGCAGCCACGGCTCGATACATCGCCGGCTATCTTATCATCATCATCATCACAACGGCAACAACAATAAACGCGGCACAACAAAGCAGCGGTGGGCAGAGAGAGAGGCAGAGAGAGAGGCAGAGAGAGAGGCAGGGGGGAGAGGCAGGGGGAGAGGCAAGGCGGAGAGGCAAGGGGAGAGGCAAGGGGGAGAGGCAAGGGGGAGAAGCAAGGGGGAGAGGCAGGGGGAGAGGCAAGGGGGAGAGGCAAGGGGGAGAGGCAAGGGAGAGAGGCAAGGGGGAGAGGCAAGGGGGAGAGGCAGGGGGGAGAAGCAAGGGGGAGAGGCAAGGGGGAGAGGCAAGGGGGAGAGGCAAGGGGGAGAGGCAAGGGGGAGAGGCAAGGGGGAGAGGCAAGGGGGAGAGGCAAGGGAGAGAGGCAAGGGGGAGAGGCAAGGGGGAGAGGCAGGGGGGAGAGGCAAGGGCGAGAGGCAAGGGAGAGAGGCAAGGGGGAGAGGCAAGGGGGAGAGGCAAGGGGGAGAGGCAAGGGGTGAGGCAAGGGGGAGAGGCAAGGGGGAGAGGCAAGGGGGAGAGGCAAGGGAGAGAGGCAAGGGGGAGAGGCAAGGGGGAGAGGCAAGGGGGAGAGGCAAGGGGGAGAGGCAAGGGGGAGAGGCAAGGGGGAGAGGCAAGGGGGAGAGGCAAGGGGGAGAGGCAAGGGAGAGAGGCAAGGGGGAGAGGCAAGGGGGAGAGGCAGGGGGGAGAGGCAAGGGGGAGAGGCAAGGGAGAGAGGCAAGGGGGAGAGGCAAGGGGGAGAGGCAAGGGGGAGAGGCAAGGGGTGAGGCAAGGGGGAGAGGCAAGGGGGAGAGGCAAGGGGGAGAGGCAAGGGAGAGAGGCAAGGGGGAGAGGCAAGGGGGAGAGGCAAGGGGGAGAGGCAGGGGGAGAGGCAAGGGGGAGAGGCAAGGGGGAGAGGCAAGGGGGAGAGGCAAGGGGGAGAGGCAGGGGGGAGAGACAATGGGAGAGGCAAGGGGGAGAGGCAAGAGAGAGAGGCAAGGGAGAGAGGCAAGGGGAGAGGCAAGGGGGAGAGGCAAGAGAGAGAGGCAAGGGGGAGAGGCAAGGGAGAGAGGCAAGGGGAGTGGCCAGGGGGAGAGGCAAGGGAGAGGCAAGGGGGAGAGGCAAGAGAGAGAGGCATGGGGGAGAGGCAGGGGGGAGAGGCCAGGGGGAGAGGCAAGGGGAGAGGCAAGGGGGAGAGGCAAGGGAGAGCGACGCTGGCACATAGAGAGTGGATCGGGGCCGAGCGTCTGGGTGACTATTTTCAGGGTGAGGCTTTGGGGTGAGGTCACGGGGGTGAGGTCGCAGGGGTGGGACCATGGGGGTTGAGGTCACGGGGTTTGAGGTCACGGGGGTTGAGGTCACAGGGGTGAGGTCACGGGGGTGAGGTCACGGGGGTTAAGGTCACGGTAACAGAGCCACCAGCGAGCCACGCCGCCCTAAAACATCCGCTCCATCGTGCAGCAAACAAACAAAATGGACAGCGCCTTCCGTTTGGAGGTCGGAGCGCAAGGTGGCGGCCGGCCGGCAGCAGCACCCGGGGCTCGAGGTCTGCGCAAGGCAGAGACGCAGCCCCTGCAGCCGCTCGCTAACGCACGCCGCTGGAGGAAGCTCTAGAGCCCCCCCCCCCCCCCCCGTAAGACCCGTGATGTTCTCACGAGAAGTGAGCGACCGTAGCAGGGCCGGATCAAGGTGTGGGGGGCTTTAGGGGGCAGCAGCCCAGGGGCCTCCGCCAGCCGGAGGGCCTCCACAGATTAAGTGAAAAGTTGTTTCATTTGTGAATGCTGAATTTTGTCGTTAGTCTTGTAAAAACAATTTTTTTATTTTTCTTTCACTTTGTTTAGGGGGGGGGGGGCTCACAGTACTTGTAGCCCAGGGGCCTACAAAATCTTAATCCGGCCCTGGGCCCTAGGGGAGCGGCGGCACAGCGGTTAGCGCACCGCGCGTGCAACCTCGGCGACACGCGAGGGCCGATTCCAGCCCACGAACCGGTGACGGCGAATGTCCGTGCTGACCCTGGGCCTGCCCCAAGGTCAACGCGGCCTTTTAAAATGAGTGCCGTGCCAAGAGCGGCGTGCGTAGACTGGGGAGGCGGTGACAACAACAACAACGCTGACAACGTGGGAAACGCACACGCAGCCTCCGTGCGTCATGCGTAAACAAAGCAACCAGCGGTTCCTGAGCAACTACATTGATGGGTCATGTTGTCTTCGGTTACCATCAAGATACATTTGGGACAA